AGCTTGTGGTCCACTATAACCCCTAGATCCCTTTCTGTCGTACTCCTTCCTAGACAGTCTCTTCCCATTCTGTATGTGTGAAACTGATTTTTTCTTCCTAAGTGGAGCACTTTGCATTTGTCTTTGTTAAACTTCATCCTGTTTAACTCAGACCATTTCTCCAATTTGTCCAGATCATTTTGAATTATGACCCTGTCCTCCAAAGCAGTTGCAATCCCTCCCAGTTTGGTATCATCCGCAAACTTAATAAGCATACTTTCTATGCCAATATCTAAGTCGTTAATGAAGATATTGAACAGAGCCGGTCCCAAAACAGACCCCTGTGGAACCCCACTCATTATGCCTTTCCAGCAGGATTGGGAACCATTAATAACAACTCTCTGAGTACGGTTATCCAGCCAGTTATGCACCCACCTTATAGTAGCCCCATCTAAATTGTATTTGCCTAGTTTATCGATAAGAATATCATGCGAGACCGTATCAAATGCCTTACTAAGTCTAGGTATACCACATCCACAGCTTCTCCCTTATCCACAAGACTCGTTATCCTATCGAAGAAAGCTATCAGATTGGTTTGACATGATTTGTTCTTTACAAATCCATGCTGGCTGTTCCCTATCACCTTACCACCTTCCAAGTGTTTGCAGATGATTTCCTTAATTACTTGCTCCATTATCTTCCCTGGCACAGAAGTTAAAGTAACTGGTCTGTAGTTTCCTGGGTTGTTTTTATTTCCCTTTTTGTAGATGGGCACTATATTTGCCCTTTTGTTTTTAAACAACGATATCTGGAATTGTCCATTCATTGTTTCCATCCAATTTGACTTGAACACAGTCACCAGTTTCTAGGCCTGGTAGTTCTCTAACTGAGTGATGTCTGCTGTAAAAGTATTCATAAGATTTTTTAGGTTTTTATCCAATTTGGTCGCTCTCTTCATGTCTGGCCATTTTGGAAATAGGTTCTTTTCAAAACTTGGTCTGAATTGTCTTCCCATCAGGAGTTGTGCTGGACTACATTGAGTAGCTGCTATTGGTGTTGGTTTGTAACTCAGAAGGGCAAAGAATGGATCTTCCTGCTGTAGGATTTCTTGGCTGTCTGTACAGCTCTCTGTCTCTCCGTTTACTTGGAGGTAACGAGGCTGCTAGTAATATGATCAAAATCATATTTTGTTTAGAATTACTTAAATTCTGCTTCAGTGAATTGTGGTCCATTGTCTGTCACTAGCTGTTCTGGAATGCTGAAGTTAGCAAAAGTGCACCAGTTTCTCAATAAAACTATGACATGGTATGTCTGTCAAGTATGTTATTTCCATTCACCTGGAAAACTAGTCCACGACGACAAGGTCATGATGTCCTCTGAATATGCATAAATCTACAGCTAGTTCTTTCCAGGTCTGTCTGGTAGGGGTGTTGTGATTAAAGGTTTTTTGTGTTGTATTGGTCTATTAGTTCTGCACGGTTCACGTGCAGATACTTTATGTTCTTGCTGATGCCCGGCCACCACACTGACTGGTTGGCCCATTCACAGCATTTAGTTAATCAATGATTCCCTTCATGGATGAGGTTTGGGATTTCTCTTCTCATTTCATTTGTAATTACGATGTAATTGCCTTTAACAATGAGTGCATTTGACTCGCTTAATTATCCACGCACTGCAAAGTAGTCTCTTGTCACTTCATTAGTGTGGTTTAGGTACTTGGGCCAGCCACCCCAATGTAACTTAGAACTTCCTGAAGTTGTGTGTCTGTTGTAATTGCTTTTTGGAGCTGGAGTCGTCTCTTTTTTGACAGTGGTCTGTATGTGTCCACAGCATCCACATACACCTTTACGTCATCTCTGAGCTCACGGGTAGCTGAGTGTGATGCTGGGCTCCATGATGGAATGTCTGCTAGTCCCAGATTGTTCCCAGGAACATATTTAGTAATTGGGTTAATTGCATTAACCTTAGCAATAGACTGGCATCTCAGCCGTGCTTGATCCAGGTCTTTTTCATTGCAGAGAGTTACAAGTGGTTTGTGGTCTATTATCAGCATAAATGAATCTAGTCCACACAGATATCTGTTAAAGTTCTAACATGCCCATACACTTGGCAGGCACTCCTTGCCAATCTGTGCATATCATTGTTCTGCTTCTATGAGTATGCAAGAGCAAAATGCATCTGGCTTCCGCTCTGAGCGCTGTTGTTGCAACAATACATTAATTGGTGCATTCAATTTGCGAATGGCTTTTACTTTCTCAGGACTAGGACAGATCCCATCTTTGTTTATTGCCTATCCCCAAAACTCAATTTGGGGTAGGCAGGAACCACATTTTTCCTTGTTTTGCTTCAGTCCAGACTAACCAATTAGGCTTAGGGTGAGTGTTTTGTTGTGTTCTTCCATTGAAGATCCATATATCAGAATATCAGCCATGAAACTACAACCCCATTCGTTAACAGTTCTGCCATCAGTCTTTGGAAAATTAAAGGTGCACTGGTAATCCCAAAGGGTAATCTTTGAATGCAAAATCTCTTAAAGGGTCTGATAAATGTAGTCAGTTTAGCACTTTCTTTGGATAAAGGAATCTGCTGGAATCTCGAGGCATCCAGCCTGCAGAATGCTGTAGCTCCTTTCACTTTGGGAAGGAAGTCATCCAGTGCTGAGAGGATATATTGTTCTCTCACAGCTGCTTCATTGAGGCTTTTAAGATCCACACATATTTGTATTTTTCCATTTTGCTTTATAAATGGTACCATTGGGGCACACCATGCTGATGGCTCAGAGATTTTCTTGATTATGCCAATCCACTCCATTCTGTTTAACTCAGTTTCCACTTTATGTAGTAAGGGGATAGGAATCCTGCCAGGTGTATGTACACTATATGGTTCAGCGTTGTCTCTTAAAGTGATTTGTATTGGATCTCCTTTCAAAGTTCAATATGACCCAATATTCTGTCAATTTCTTCCACATTTCTCACTAGGCCCATCATGGCTGCCACGCTGCAGCTGGGAAGGCTGATGGTCAGTGGTCCTTTAATCACATACACCCTGAATGCAAAGCCGTTGTCTTTGAAAGTTGTTTCTGTGGTGAATTGGCCCAAGTTCAGAATACCTCCAGAGCTAGTCAGAGCTGTGTCAGGTGACTTCAGCTCTGGGAGGGGTTGAAGGTTACTGTAAGTCCCTTCTGAGATAACTGTGACATCAGCTCCTGAGTCAGTTTTAAAGTCAATAGGCTTGCCATGAATATTCAATTTTACTCTCCAAACAGGTTCTATGTCTTCAGAAGTGACAGATCCAAGAAAGAACGGCGCTTGATTGTCTGTAGTATGAGTCAACTCCCTGACTTCCTTAGTGCAGGATATTTCCTGCATTTATTACACCATGTGCCTCTGGCTGGACATGGATCAGCTCTTGGGATATGATTTTTTCCACACCTTGTGCATGTAGGCTGGAATTTGTCCCTCTTAACATGGGAATTCTCTCTCCTTGCCACAGAGGTTTTATGATAATGACTTTTAACCTTTACTCTATGTATAGCTATCGCTAGGATTAAATCTCTCTTCAATTGTAGTGCTGTGAAAGGTTTTATCTGTTATCCCCATAACCAACCTGTTTCTGATATTTTCATATTTTGCATTCCCCAAAAACATAGTTTTCAGCTGATGTATGCAGAGCTCTTATAAAACATTCCACATTTTCCCCTGATTCTTGAATTCTCTGGTGAAAACTTGCTCTTTCATAAAACACATTTCTCTGAGGTATAAAGTATGCTTCAAACATAGCCAGAACCCTTTAATAGTCATCCTTGTGACTGTCTTCAGTAAAGTCAGAGGATTTAAAGATATGCTCTGCTTGTTTCCCCAGAGCATAAATTAAAGACGACAACCTGTGTATCCCCAGTTTCCTTGTGAAGCTTAGTAGCAAAGCGAAATCTTGCAAAATCTTGTTTCTAGTCTGTCCATTCTGAAGGTTTGTCAAAGCTGAAGTTCTCCAGGTTATTGAAGAGGGGCATGTGGATGAGATCCTGAATTTTGTTGCTATGGTCCTTCTGTTTTTGTTCATAGTTTACTCCTGACACCATGTCATGTCCCTGTGCTAGATATGGACTGGTCACAGAGCTTACTTATACACCCCAGCTCTGTTCAGCATAAGATCCTTTAATGCTCTGCCAGGTATGGTTGAGGTTCATTTAAATAAGGTGTTTTATGCATAGTGCCACCTAGTGGCTGAACAGTATAATACAGTTTAGCATTCCATTACAAGAACTGCCCCAGTTCTACCAATGGGGTGTTAACTCTGAAACTACTTCCCTGCTGCTAATCACGGCAACAGAGTGACCAGTGAATGTGCTTACCTCACTTCCCAAAACGTCTCCTGCGCCTCCCTGGTTCCAATCCCCACTTCCCTCATAACTGGCTGCACCAACCACCAGCTTCCCCAATGACTTCTTCTGCGCTGCCCTGCATTGTCAGTGCAAAAATCTGCCACATGTAGAAAATGGAATACGTAGGGAAAGTGTAAATAATGTAATAGTGCACAAGCAGAAGGGGGCACCCTGCTGAATGCACTGTTCATTTTCACATCCAAATCTCCAGAGCTTCGTTACATGAGGTTGCTGCTCTGAGGCTGCAGAGTTCAGATCTGCCTCACTGGGGAGCACCAAGCCTTGGCCACATGAGGCGGCCCCTGGCTGTGAAGTGCGCTGATGGGAGGCAATGCCCGGCCTGGTCTGTGTTTCATTTGCAAAGAGTGAGGCTGGATGCAGATTATGTTGAACAATTGGATTTATTAAACCCTGTGGCTGAGTTGCTTCCAGCCTAACTCCTCACATTCTCTGTTCCACTGGCGTCCTGTTAATAACAATCTCTCCAGGGAAAACGGGCCGTCTGACTCCGGTTCCACTGACCATGGTACAGTCTGCACTGCAGCATGCTCCAGTCTGTAATGGAGTGTAACGACTGTTGGGTTGGACAAAGTCTGAGGGGGCTTGTAGTGATTTGCCCTGACCCTCTATTTCTTCCCAGCATCCACCAGCTGAGGAGCAAGGTGTCTGCGGAACATGAAGTCATCAAGAAGAAGGAGCTGGAGACTGGACCCAAGGCCTCTTATGGATATGGGGGCAAATTTGGAACAGAGCGGGACCGAATGGATAAGGTAAAAGCTGCTGTGGCTTGTCTGTGCTCTGCAGAGAGTTCCCCATCCCAGCAGTGGAGGGGTGGGTCTGTCTGAGTGACTGTTCCCCAGCAGGGAAAGAGCAGGAACAGAGACTTACAGACGTTAGAAGTGGAATAGGTCTGTGCAATCCCACCCATCTCCCTCCCCATGGACCAGAGCAGGATTATTCCTAATGAACTGTTAGACCAGACAAAGCTCTACTAACTTTAAATGTTCCACATGATGGGGCCCCCAACCTTTCTCCTGATGGGATGATTCCCAGCAAAATCCATCTCCCTGACAGGGAATATTTCCTGATTAATTATCATAATCATCCCCTTTCTTAAATCTGTCCCATTCCTCCTAGTCCCAGAATTGAACACGGTGATGCAGGTGGGCTCACAGCACAGCGGCATAGAGAGAGTTCATTCATAGATCCAGAGAGTTTGACAGAAATGACCATTAAATCATCTAGTCTCATCTGTATAGCACAGGGCGTTAAATTTTACTGTTACCTCTGTATTGAGCCCCATAACTTGTGCACCTCTTCAAGAAAGGCGTCCAGTTTTGATTTGAAAACATAGAATCATAGAATATCAGAGTTGGAAAGGACCTCAGGAGGTCATCTAGTCCAACCCGCTGTGCCAAGCAGGACCAACCCCCAACTAAATCATCCCAGACAGGGCTTTGTCAAGCCTGACCTTAAAAACCTCTAAGGAAGGAGATTCCACCACCTCCCTAGGTAACCCATTCCAGTGCCTCACCACCCTCCTAGTGAAAAAGTTTTTCCTATATCCAACCTAAACCTTCCCCACTGCAACTTGAGACCATTACTCCTTGTTCTGTCACCTGCCACCACTGAGAACAGTCTAGATCCATCCTCTTTGGAACCCCCTTTCAGGTAGTTGAAAGCAGCTATCAAATCCCCCCCGCTCCCCCCTTTAAGGTTCTGACTGTACCGCATTCTCTCCAGGGCTTGAATGATTTTTGTAGCTCTTTTTCTGTTCCTCCAATCAGTTTCCTCACCGTTGGGAAATTAGCTGTTTTGAAGCATCAAGTGTATGTACTGCTGGGTGGGACTGTCTTCTGTTTGCCCATATCGAATGTAATCAGGTCATGAGCACTGTGTGGGAATGGCTCCAGGGATGCTGCCCTAGAGTTCAGCCATGTGTCTCTCAGAGCTGAGCCTGGGCTTCGGCAGGGTGCAGTATATTCTGTTTGTGCCTCTGCCCATGTGTCTGTCCTGACTGCTAGACCAGAATGAAGTTGTGACTGACTCTGTCCATGTGTCTGTCCTCTGTTGGATAGGAACAGTGGTGGTGCCTGACACTGTTCTTTCTGGTTTCCTAGAGTGCACTGGGCCACGAGTACATAGCTGATGTTGAGAAGCATTCGTCTCAGACAGATGCAGCTAAAGGTTTTGGGGGGAAATATGGAGTCCAGAGGGACCGAGCCGACAAGGTAGGTGGCCACGGTGGTACAGGTTAGAGCCCTGCAGCGGGACAGGAATCCCACGGGTCCCACAGGACCCACTGCCATAATCGCAGGAGTGGGTAAAATGTACTTTGTTGCAGGCAGGATTGGGTGGGCAAAAACACCAAACTGCGGTAATTTGTGGGAAAACACTAAATCTCTCGTCAGTTTGTCATAAACAGAATTTCACCAATGTAAAACAAGTTGTTCTTTTCTTTTAAAATAAAGAAACAATGCAGGAGCGAGTGGGAGTGGCTATTGTGGGGCAGAATGGGAGTGGGATTAAAAGAATAGTCCAGCGCAGGGCTCTGGTACAGGGCACAGTGAGAACACGTAGCCGGGTGCCCTGCTCTTGCCATGCAGTAAATTAAAGGTCTTAGCCTTTATTTTCAAGGCACGCAATGGTCTGGGCCCAGGATTGCTGTGTGCTTTGTGCACCTCGGAACCGCCACTGACAACTCACTCCTCTGGCACAATGCAATTGCCTTCTCTTCTGAGGGGTGCAAGGAACCGGCCCCTGCCTGAGCACCCTGCCCCACCTCGCTGGGGAGGCCTGCTCACATATCGGGTGTCAAACTGACACTTTTCACTAAATCCACACCGTGGTTTCCAAACTGATATTTATGGCTCTCTGCAATTTTTCTCAATTATGCGAACTAGCTAATTCATTTGCATAAACTCACCCATGGAGCTACACAAAACTTGGCAGCTCTGCACCTGGCATGTGTCATGCTGCCCCCGTCTGGCTGGATACCTGACTTGTGCAGCACGTGTAACTGACATCACAGAATGGGGCAGCCCTGGACTCTAAGCTCAGGCACTGACCTTTGGCGGGGGGGTGCAGTGGCTGTGGTGTGGGAGCAGCTCATGAGAGGGGAACACTGTCATCTTGCCATCTCAGCAGAGGCCGAGCAGGGGGAAGGGCTCTGTGATGTGGAGCCCCCGCCCCGGGGCAGAGCTGGTGACCTCCCAGGCAGTGCTGTGTGAGCGGCTTGTATTTCAGTCGTGGGCGTCTCTGCGCACAGGGAGCCCTGGTGCTGCCCTGACCAGCGGGCAGCCCATCATGACCAGGAAGGATGAGCTAGAATCCCCTGGTTCTGTCTCAGTCAGCGCTGCTGCCCCTGCTGTGGCTTAGAACATAAGAACATAAGAAAGGCCGTACCGGGTCAGACCAAAGGTCCATCTAGCCCAGTATCCTGTCTACCAACAGTGGCCAATGCCAGGTGCCCCAGAGGGAGTGAACCTAACAGGCAATGATCAAGTGATCTCTTTCCTGCCATCCATCTCCACCCTCTGACAAACAGAGGCTAGGGACACCATTCCTTACCCATCCTGGCTAATAGCCATTAATGGACTTCACCACCATGAATTTATCCAGTTCTCTTTTAAACTCTGTTATAGTCCTAGCCTTCACAACCTCCTCAGGTAAGGAGTTCCTCAAGTTGACTGTGCGCTGCGTGAAGAAGAACTTCCTTTTATTTGTTTTAAACCTGCTGCCTATTAATTTCATTTGATGACCCCTAGTTCTTGTATTATGGGACTAAGTAAATAACTTTTCCTTATCCACTTTCTCCACATCACTCATGATTTTATATACCTCTATCATATCCCCCCTTAGTCTCCTCTTTTCCAAGCTGAAGAGTCCTAGCCTCTTTAATCTCTCCTCATATGGGACCCGTTCCAAACCCTTAATCATTTTAGTTGCCCTTTGCTGAACCTTTTCTAGTGCCAGTATATCTTTTTTGAGATGAGGAGACCACATCTGTACGCAGTATTCGAGATGAGGGCGTACCATCGATTTATATAAGGGCAATAATATATTCTCAGTCTTATTCTCTATCCCCTTTTTAATGATTCCTAAAATCCTGTTTGCTTTTTTGACCGCCTCTGCACACTGCATGGACATTTTCAGAGAACTATCCACAATGACTCCAAGATCTTTTTCCTGACTTGTTGTAGCTAAATTAGCCCCCATCATATTGTATGTAT